TTAATTAAACTATTTTATTTTATTGTTTTAAATAAAATATTTTAAATAGTTAGGTTAAAGTAAAAATATATATTAAATTTGGTTTGATTTAAAATAATTAAACTTTAGTATTAAATTAAAATTAAAAAATAAGTAATAAGTATGCCTATAATTATGAGTTAAATATTGAAACTATATGAAATTTCATTTTTTTTCTTTATTTTTTAATATTTTACAAGAAATGAGAATCCTTAATAGGACCTATGGGATGTGGAAAATTTTCTACAAAATTTCATGAAGAGAAAATATTCCCCATCCTACTGCACCCTCGTAGTGGGGATCGGCGCAATCCCACAAGAATAGCAAAAAATTGCTATTCATATCATATATTTGGTTTTGGTTTATATAGGCCTAACATAAAGAAAATCAAATAATGGACTTAGAGTCTTAGACAATAAAATAAGATTGGGCTCGATGTTTATGATAGATATGGCCTTCTTTAGAATACTCACTAGTTTTTTGAAACTCCACCAAGAATGTATTTTCAACTTGTTTGAATTTTACAAGTAAACTAGCCCATGGTTTTTATTGAATTAAAAACCTATTTTCATGTCATTCTTTACATTTTAACAAACTCATTTTCTTTTATTTAGCTGTGAGAAACTTTGTAGTATGAACCATTCTTAGTTCTTTCCCTTGATTTAGTCAATAAAAGGAAGGACACATGGTATTTTGCAAAGCAGCAAAACTAGATGATACATGTGTGAGAGCTAAGAAAGAGGAGAAAGAATACAACAAAAGGAGTTACTATAAAAGTAATATGCTTGTGAGGTAAGTATTGATGCTACTAGTAGAAGAGTTATAGCAAGGACAAACAAAGCATTAAGAACTTGTTGATTATAACACTCCGAATCCCACATTGAGATGGAAGTGTGAGTATGATTCACATATAAGTGTAACGTCCCAAATTTCACATTAGTGGGGAATTGCGAGTGAGCTTGGTATGTAAATGTGAAAACTAACCACTATTAACAACTTAAGCTTGCTCTTTTAAGGGTTTATAAATCTTGGCCTAAAGAGTTGTTAACTCAGTGATGGGCTTCAACTTGAGTCGTTTTAGTTGTATTAGAGCAGTCACCTCTCGCAAGTGTGGGCTTATGTTGACCATTACGATGGTAGTGTGGATCTTATATCACTTGGGGTGGATCTTATGCTTGTAGCTTAATGGGCTTACTTTTAATTATGTTTGGGCTTGATGGAGATTGTAACATCGTGAATCCCACATTGATAAAAAGCTTTTGAAGGCTTATAAACCTTAGCTCAAAGAGTTATTAGGTCAGTGGTAGGTTTTAGTTTGGGTCATTTCAATAAGTGTAAAGATCAATCAATGTTAACCATTTAAACTTAAGCTTTTGAGAATATGTGGACCTTGACTTAAAGAGTTATTAAGCTAGTGGTAAGTTTTGGCTTGAGTTGTGTTAGTTGGTATTAGAGTGGTTAGCTTTCACAAATGTAAGGCTATGTTGACCATCTTGACTGTGATCATGTGGACCTCATATCACTTGAGGTGAATTATGTGCTTGTGGTTCAATGGGCATTGTTCTTGTTGTGATTGAGCTTGTGGACCTCATATCACTTGAGGTGGATTTTGTGCTTGTGGCCAAATGGGCTTTGTTTTGATTGTGATTGGGCTTGATCAGAACATCAAGCATTTAAGTGAAAAAGATTGTAACGCCTTGAATCCCATATGAGGATGGAAGAGTGAGTGTGATTGATATATAAGTACAAAGACCAACCACTACTAATAACTTGAGTTTAAACTTTTAAGGGCTTATGGACTTTGGCCAAAAAAAATTGTTAGGTTGGCAAGTTTTGGCTTATAATCAAACTTAAGATACTTTTTTGTGGAATTGGTAAGATACAAAAAGCCTAAACTGGTTATCTCATTGTGGAATTGGGTGGACCCCTTCAATGGTTTTACCAAATCCCTTGACCTTAAATCTAAGGGATTGAGATGACTAAAACATAGTTTTTGATCTCTATAGGTCAATTGATGATTTGATTGTGATTGGGCTTGATCAGAACATCAAGCATTTAAGTGAAGAAGATTGTAACACCTTGAATCCCATATCGGGATGGAAGAGTGAGTGTGATTGGTATATAAGTACAAAGACTAACCACTACTAATAACTTGAATTTAAACTTTTAAGAGCTTATGGACTTTGGCCAAAAAAATTGTTAGGTTAATGGTGAGTTTTGGCTTCTAATCACACTTAAGAAACTTTTTTGTGGAATTGTGGAAATGGGTGGACCCCTTCAATGGTTTTACCAAATCCCTTGACCTTAAATCTAAGGGATTGAGATGACTAAAACATAGGTTTTGATCTCTATAGGTCAATTGATGATTTGATTCTATTGGGTGCATATGAGATTATTTTAGAGGAGCTGAACTCAAGTTT